TAATTATATTAATTCAACTGTAAACCTAAAAATTTACAGCCAATTTTGAAAATGATGCATCCTACCTCAGGAAACCGTTATTGAATATGTCAATTGTGTTGTAATGAAATGCCTCTTCTAATTATATGGTTATTAAATAAATAATTTAAAAAAATAAAAAAAAAACAGGGAACCATATTAGTCCAACAACCTACTGAAAAATTATATGTACAACTAGATCAAAGAATATAACATATATTGAGGCAAGGTCTATCTGAGAACGTTTGGTCTTTGCCCAAGCTTTATCTACATGGCACATGGTAATTAAAATACCAGACTGGTGGAACTAACCTTACTGGATGTTTAGCAGGCATACTTTCAGGCCTATCCTAATCTGGTCAGAGGGACTTAAAGGACAGTTTTTGCCCCTTGCCCTCTATAGTCGACTAAGTTCCAGGGACTATGGAACATCTCTCAAAATGTCCTGTAACTGTGGTGAGTCACCTGTCCTCTTGATCAAGGAGGCCGTGGAGACACTACCAGATGGACTTGAATCAATGTACAGTCTACAAAGAGGAGGGTCAACACAGAGGAATCATTTCCTCCATGCTTCCAAGTGAAGCCAGCCATGGTCGAGCAGGACCTTTGACTTATCTTCACATAGATGGAACTTGTCAAAGGAAGGAGCCAGGGGTTCCTCCCAAGCCCATGTGACCCCTGAGGAACAGATCCTCAAACAACCTTAAGAGTAAAAATAAATTGGTTTATCTTGGCCAATTGTAGGGTCTTAAACCCCCAATAGAAAAGTATAACCAAAGACTTAAGTGGTCAGCTAAAGGCTACATAACAAGAAACAATGCAAGACAGCAGATACCTTCCTTTGAGTTATTGGCCAGGGTGGCCCAAAAGACTCCCAGACAGTAACTCAGCATAGAACTGGGAAAATGAACAGAAGACCCCAATATTCCTTATCTAAAGGAATAGTGACAACTGATTACTGCTAAATGAGGAACAGCTGATCTTCCTAAAACAAGGATCTCTAGATAGGCTGACTAGATTCAGTGGATGGAAAAGCACTGGGGAATGGCCGGGGTGCTGACATCACAGTGGACAGTAACAGGGATGACAGAGTATATGGGCTCCAGTGGGGGGGGTGCCTATAGGAGGGTGCCATTTGGGAAGTGGATATATAGATGAATAAGATTGTTTAGGATGTTCCATATGATAGACACCCAAAAAATTCAACAAATAAAAAACTTAGTTATATTTGAGGAGGAAGCATAAAAATTCACTTCTTGTTAATTAGTATAG